AAGGTTACTTAAAACATACTTAATTTTGTTCATTATTAAAAAAGGTATGTTTTAAGCACATTTTAAGCACCTTCAAGCAGATTTTAAGCATGTTTAAATACATTTTAAGCACCTAAACTTTTTGTAGGGTTGGTAGGATTGAAGTTTGTGATCAGGTAGAATGGTTCATAACCATCATCACCTAAAAACAAATTATTTAGAAATTATCACAATAATCAAAAATACACATTTATACCAAATTCTTTACCATCCTGCTCTTCTATAGTTGGATACATTAATGATAAAGAGGGATATCGAGCACCAGGAGAAAAATTTATTGCCTCTTCAAAAGTGGCAATTTTTCTAGTAATTCCCATTCATAATTCTTCAATAATAAACAAGCAAAGTATTTGCCAATAATTCAATTGACTTTCACAATTTTAACAATGAAATATAAGGTGCATTCCATCTTGATTAACAGTCATCACATTTCTCAATATTGTTTAAATCAGTTTCTTAGTCATCCTCACCATCATAATTATTGTCATTTCATTAACATTACTATAAGAATGTATTAAATCACTAACCCAAATCTTGTTGATGAAATTTCTAATTGGGCATTACCTAACCTTTCAGTTTGTTTTGGAGATGGATGATGTGAAAATTTAACTAATTTTTTAAATCTTTTGACATATGGGTTGATTGTTTTATTTATAATTAATTGAAGCACATGCCCAGTGCACAGAATTAGTTCAACTTCTTCTCACAATTCAAATGTCTTTTCCATGTTACCTGTTATGCCACAAATTAATTTCCCTTCAAGCCCGAATTCATTAATTTATTTTTTAGACATGCAAGAATTGTTTGGATTGAATGTGGATATGGCATTTTTTAATTGCAAGTAGGATATCAACTAGTTCAAAGTCTGGTGTAAGCAACACCTTTGATCTTGCTGTCCACAAATCGGTAGCAATAGTTGCAATATTGCAAGTTTTTTTGTTAATTTTTCTTTCTGTAATACATATGCTTTTGCAATTAGTTTTGCCCTTATCTTTCATAACAAGGAATCCAATGAAACCCATTTTGTGGCAGCATATTGAAGCTCTCTCATTCATTTAAAGGGTATGCCTTAATCTTTTTAAAATGTTCTTTGATCGGTTTTTTTCCTAAAAAATATTATTATAATACATTAGATTCACTTTAATAATTGTTCTTAACAAAAATTCATGTCTATGTATCAAATGATAGTTCAATGTTGACATAAATACTTAATTTTCTTGAATATTTAGAACACACAATCTGACACATTACAATTAATGTTGTTGTTCCCATCATCTTTAAAATAATCCCAAGATTTGGATTTTTTATTATGTATTTTCCTAATACATAGGCAACCCATTAAACCGAAGGCAATTGAGCAGTAACTTTTCTTCGGATTAACGGGGTTTTTTTATAATCCGATGTTATTATTAGAGTCATAATTAATTCGGATAAACGGGGAAAAAATTTAAAAATTTAGAATTTCCTTTATCCATTTTCTGGCGGTGAATTTATTTGGATTCAATGATAAAAAATAATCACTCTTTTTTAGAATTTCAAAAACAGTAAATTCACTGACATTATATTTAGATGCAAGCTGGTATTTTTTATGTTTGGGCCTTTATTTTTTCAATACATATTTATATTTTTATAGGCGTATGTTTTCTTTTTGATACCCCAACTTCTTTTTCAGTAGATTTTTTTTCCCTCTTGTTTGCACTAGAGGAAAGTCTACTTATTAATTTTTTGTACATGTGAATTTGCAATTCACATAATCAAATTAGCTAATTAGGATTTCATATCATGTGTATTTTTATAACTTTTTTATTTCACTTCGGTTTATAAAAATTCGGATTAATGGGGCAATTTTACATATAAATGGCTTCAAAAAATTTAAAAATTTCTTCGGTTTACGGTTTATAAAGTTTTATTAGTGACATTCATATTGACGGGGCAATTCACATATGTTTGGCTTTGGTGTTTTAAAAATTAATCATTTTAACAGGGTTTTCGGATTAACGGGGGTTGCCTATGTAATATTTTATTGCTTTCAAGACTTTTTAATTTGATTAAAACTTTTTAATTCGATTAAATTTTTTTAATTCGAATAAAATTTTTTTAATTCAAATGAATTTTTTTAATTCAAATAAATTTTTTTTAATTCAAATAAATTTTTATTCAAATAATTAATTCGAATTAAAGGTCAACAGTATTACAAATAATTCGAATAAGAATCTGTATTACGAATAGAAGCCCTACAATTAATCTCATTTTTTGATTTTATTAATTAGAGGGAGAAGAAAGAGAGTGAATAATAACCTGTTTATCACTACAGTCAAACCTTGTATCAAGGACACATAAGAAAATTGCATCTAAAACTTGTTGTACTACTAATTGCACTTCAACAAATTTTAATTGTAATTCATTAAAAAGCAAGATACTACTATTTATTAATTATTTTATTTGTTAAATTTGTAAATCCAAGTACATGATTTTTTATTCCAATATGATATCTTGTGTGTAACAATTCTGAAAAAATGCTTTTACACATCCTGGATATTTACATTTGACCAAGATGGCATCTTGCATGATCTAGCAAGCTACGTTTTTGATAAAATGCTTTGTTACATCTTGGATATTCACACTTGAAATTTTTTATTCCAAGATATTTTGTATGTTCTTGTAAATCTCCATTTTAATAAAATGTCCTGTTACATCCTGGTTATTCACACTTGAAATTTTTATTCCAAGATGATATCTTGTATGTACTTGTAATTTACCACTTCAACAAAAAGCTTTGCTACATCCTGGATATTCACACTTGAAATTTTTTATTCCAAGGTGATGTCTTGTATGCATTATTAAAGTCTTTTTATAGGAAAATGCTTTGTTACATCCTGGATATTCACATTTGAAGTCTTTTATTCCTAGATGAGATCCTGTATGAATTGTTAAAACTTCTTTACAATAAAATGCTCTTGCACATCCTGGATATTCACATTTGAAATTTTTTATTCCAAGATGACAGTTTGTATGAATTGTTAAACCACTTTTACAAGAAAATGCTCTTGCACATCCTGGATATTCACATTTGAAATTTTTTATTCCAAGATGAGATCTTGTATGAATTGTTTACAACAAAATGCTTTTTCACATCTGGATATTCACATTTGAAATTTTTTATTCCAAGATGACATTTTGTATGTTCTTGAGGAAATGCTTTTGCACATCCTGTATATTCACACTTGAAATTTTTTATTCCAAAATGACGTTTTGTATCTATTTGTAATTCATTATTTTGGCAAAAAGCTTTTGCACATCCTGGAAACTCACATTTGAAATTTTTTATTCCAAAATGACGTTTTGTATCTATTTGCAATTCACTATTTTGGCAAAAAGCTTTTGCACATCCTGGACACTCACATTTGAAATTTTTTATTCCAAAATGACATTTTGTATGTACTAATAAACTAGAACTATAATAAAATGTTTTGTTACATCCTGGATATTCACATTTGAAACCTTTTTCACCATGAATTTTACAGTGTTTGTTAAGTATATATCTAGTCTTGAAAGATTTACCACAGTTTGGAACTGTACAAAAAAATACATTATAACTTTGATTACTACTTTCATTGCCATCCTCACCATCAATTTCATTATCACTATCTTCATCTACACTATTTCCATCTTCATCAATTTCACTATCACTATTTGAATCATCATTTTTATTGTTGTTGTTAGTGCTGTCATGATAATTTTCTAGGTTTTTTTTAATTTTATCATCATTATTAAATAAAAATATTATTAATTAACTTTATATATTTTTAAACAAGCATAATATATACCATTTTGAATTTTTTAAATCAAGTGTAACAATACTAATACGGGTAGATGACAAAAAATAAATTTTTGTTAGAAAATGGTTTTATGGGCAATATTTAATTTAGTCAAAAATATTTTTCGGATCGTATTACAAGTAATAATTCCAAGACCTGTAATTACTGATTCAGCTGCAACTCGCTTAAGAGATTCACGTTTAACTGCACGAGTCATACGTGAATTTGAAACCAATTATGGTAATGTACATCCTGATTTCTTTCAAGGAAGTTTTTCGCAGGTAAAAAGTGAATGGATTGACTTTTAAACAAATTTTTTCTTTGTCCAATATTAAAAACGATAATTTAATAATATTAGGCGTTTGATCAAGCAAAAAATGATGTTCATTTCTTGATGGTAATACTTGAAACTGATGAACATGACAGCACTGATAAATTCAATCGGTAAAAAGAATAATTTTAAAATTATTATTTTGGGAGAAAAGATAATATTAATTAATTAATTAACTTTTAATAATAATAACAAAAAAGTGAGACATTGACATCTGAACTATTGGCAGTATTTTTACAGGAAAATCAAATATTGGTATGGATTGGTAATGTAAAAGATCCTGAGGCATTTCAAGGTATTCCTATAATTATAAATCTATATATAATGTGTGTGCGTGCGCGCATTTATATATATTTACATTTCTTCTATATTATAAATATCAGCACCTATATTAATAATAATAATTATTCATTAACTTTGAATATTAGCAAGTATTACATTACAGGCAACAGCATATCCATTTATAGCATTCATTGTACTACAGTCATCAAATGATAATCCAGGATCAAGTCAAAAAATGACAGTGGTTGATCATATTGAAGGTTTTTTTAATCATCATTTCAATTAATTGATTAATTGATTAAACTGTCAACTAATATTTACAATAAGAGATTTTAAAATCTACAACAAATTCATTAAATTAATTTCTTTTTTATTTCTTTCTGATTCTACTAGGATTTATAACACCAGAGGATATTGCAGCACGATTAACAAATCAAATAAATCACCATGAAATGAGTATGCAAAGAATGCGTAATAAACAAGTAGAACGTGAATCTGCACGTCAAATACATGATCAACAAGATATGGCTTATCAGGCTTCATTATTAGCTGATCAAGAGAAAGAACATAAAGCTCGTGAATTGGCTAATGCTAAACGATTAGCTGAAGAAAATGCAAAAAAAGAAAAAATACAACAAAAATTAACTGAAGAAAAAAAATTGAAATGGAGACGTTGGGCTTTATCAACTTTACCAGATGAACCATCCGAATCTGATAAAAATGTAGCAAGATTAAGTTTTAGACTTGCCAATGGTGAAAGAATCATCAGACGATTTAAACCAGATGATACTGTTGAGGTTTGCTTGTTTTTTTTTGGTTGGAGGGGTTATAAAATTTGTCATTACTTGATCGATTTCTACTAATATATATATCTATTAGATGATGTATACATTTGTTGATACATGTTTTCTTCGTGAAGATCATTCATTATCATCATCATCAAATTTACAATTTCCACCTGATGATTATGCTCATACATATGATTTCTTGCTAATTTCACCATATCCAAGAGTTGAATATCATGTAGATAAATATAAAACTATAAAAAATGAAAAAGGTCTTTGGCCAAGTGCTAATCTTATTGTAGAATCACTTGCTAGTGGTTATGGTAATAATAATGCCAATGATGATTAGTTGGTGTTGGCAAATTATTAATTATATTATAATCATTAATAAGTATCAATAAGAGCACCATTTTTTTTTATATTTTATTAATTTCAATAAATATCAAATATAATGGATATAATTTTTATTATATTCAATAAATTATTTTGATAGATTAATATTTTTGAAATAAATAATTAAGTTTTTTTAAAAAAAAACCAAAACTCCATTTAGAGTAGATGTAACTGAAAATAAATAAATAAATAAAATCTATTGGATGTTAATAAATATTAAATATTAAATTATATAATTAGCTTTGATGTAATCTGTAATGATATTGTTCTGCTTGATCAATACAAGTAACATTTGATTTTAATTTATTGACGGTTTCTTTATATTCATCTTCTTCAACACTATCATAAACTATTCCACCGCCTAAAATAAATTAAAAAGAAGAAATATACATTATATTAAATTAAACACTTCACCAAACAAATGATTTAATAAATTAATTTAATAATTACCAGCTTGAAGATAAGCAACACCGTTTTTAAAAACCATTGTTCGTATAGCAATACAAGTATCAATTGAATTAGAAAAATCAAAATGTCCAACTGCTCCAGCATAAATACCACGTTTCTCCTGTTCAAGCTCGGAAATTAATTCTATAGCTCGAACTTTTGGTGCACCAGAAACTGTGCCAGCTGGAAATATTGATCTGAATGCATCAAATCTTGATTTGTCTGGACGTAATTTACCAGACACATGACTAACTATATGCATGACGTGACTATATTTCTCTATTTGCATGAATGAATCTACTTTGACTGACTTGGATTCGCATACTCGATTAATATCATTTCTTCCCAAGTCCAGTAACATTATATGTTCTGCTCTTTCCTTTGGATCATTTAATAATTCATTTGCAAGTTCATCATCCTCTTTTTTTTTTCAATAATATTATAATAAAATTTTTCAAAATTAATTATATTCAATTCACATACATAACTAGAACAATAATTAAAATAATCAATAGACTAACCTTTTGGAGTTTTCCCACGTTTTCTAGTTCCAGCAATTGGATGAGTATAGACAATATCATTTTCTACTTTGATAAGTAATTCAGGTGAAGCACCAACAATTTGAAAATCTTTTAAATTGATATAAAACATATAAGGTGATGGATTAATTGTCCTCAAATATCTATAGACATTAAATGGATGAAGTGTGGTAGGTCTAGCCAGTCGTTGTGAAGGAACAGCCTGGATTATATCACCTTTGACAATATGTTGTTTCAACTTGGTAACAAAAGCTTCATAACCTGATTTGCCAACATTGGATTCAGTTTGTTGATTAAGTATTATTTCACCTTGTGGCACCTCTAATGATGATGATGTTGGGTAGTCACTCTGAAGTTTTAATAGCAGACGTTTTATTTTTTCTAATGCTTGTTTATAATGAATCTCTATGACTTTTTTGTTTTTGGAATCATTACGATAATGCGATACCACATATAATGTCTGATATGTATGATCAAAAATTACCATAGTGTCACAAAATAAAAAATACGAATCAGGTAAACCAAGCGGATCTTTTAAATCCCTTGCTGTTCTTGGCTCAAAATATTTCACGCAATCATACCCAATATATCCAATTGCTCCACCTTAGAATTTGGAGATATGGTATAAATATAAATATACAATTCTTTATGTCTATAAATATATAACTAATTAGCAATGTGATTTTTACCTGTGAATGAAGGAATTTCAGGTAGCCTGATATACTTTGTAGATTTCAATTCATTTTCAAGACCTATTAAAGGATCACCTTCATTATCTTCTGTCTTTAATATTTTATATGGATCTTAATAAAATGAATAAATTGATTTGTCGATTACTATTTTTTTTATTAATTTTTCACTTTTATTTATTATTAATTATTTAATTAATTACCTGCTCCAAGAAAAGAATATCGACCAAGTTTTTCACCACCAGAAATAGACTCTAACAAAAAAGAATAATCACTTTTTGCTGCTATACGTAAGTAAGCGCTAACAGGTGTTAATAAATCTGCAGGGATTGTTGCATAAACTGGAATAGTGTTTCCATCTTGTACCAAAACATATTCTTGAATTTCCTCAAGAGATGGCGTAAACTTAATCTATGCATATTTTTTATATAAAATTGAATTAAACTAAATATATATAATATTAATTCACTTTAAGTTTGTAAATCATTCATTCTTACCGACATATTATTTTCTCTCTTAAATTAAATTAAAAATTTAATTTGTATTGATCACAAAAAAAAAAAATTAATTAATTTATTTGATTATTTGATTATCAATGAGTTCAAGATTTTATAAAAATGGTACATTTATATATATTTATATACGTCTATGAAAACTTTTTAATTTTTATGTATAATGAATAGAAATAAATCTTTTGTTGAATGATGAAGAAACTTATTGTAAGGAAGGAAATATTAGTGAGAATGTAAGCAGTTATAATTGTGCATAACACGCATTTTTACATATTTATAATTATTTACATTGATCGACTATTAGGAATATCATCAATTAAGGAGAAAGCTCATACAAAAACATAAAGTCAAGGGTATAAAGGCCAGTGATCTATTGATAAATCTATCACCGAAATTAAAATTATCCACAGGATGTAATGGGTAAATTAACTTAATTAGATGATATTGATATTATATATTTATTACATTATATATTTATATTATATATATATATATATATGATAGGATTGATAAATTATTGGATGGTGGAATATTTACTAGAGAAATTACTGAAATTAGTGGAAATATTGCAACTGGAAAAACTCAAGTTTAGATTTAATTTTTTTATTAATAAATTTTTTATTTGATTTTCTTATTATAAAAATTTTTTATTTGATTTTCTTATTATAAAAAATTTAATGGATTAGATTGGATTTTCCACACTAATATCAGCATTATGTAGTGATGTAAATAATACAGTTTTATATATTGACACAAAGAATATATTTTCAGCTTTGCATATTCAAAATATATATTATGAGAGTGATAGATTTATATTTGTAAGGGACCAATTACAACTGGTAATGATACATTATATATAATATTAAGATTAAATGAGTAACTAATTACTAATAATGATTATATTCTTTACAGCAAATTGAAAATCTTCTTGGTAGAATTAGAGTGGTTAATTGTTCTAATATATATGAAGTGTTGGAAGTGTTGGAAGATGTTGGAAATAATTGCAAAGTTCCATCAGATTATTTTTATCCTAATCTGAGGCTAATAATAATAGATAATATATTCTCTATAATTTCTACAATTTTATCTGATACTTGTCAAGGTAATAAAAATAAATAATTATATTTTATGTAGTATAGGTGAATGTTTATATTAGTGTTTATGTGATTTTAGGATTTAATTTGATGGTCACAATGGGAAAAATGCTTAAAGATATAGCAAAAAATAATAACATAGCAGTTTTGGTATATATCTTAATAACACAATATTATAACAACCTAATATTGATATATATTCATAATACTCTATAGACTAACAATCCTCCTCTTATCTTTATTATTATTAATATCATTAGCTAATTAATACTACAGTTAGTGCAAATCCAGATAATCCAGTATCAATGTTTTCACCAACTAGAAAACCTGCGTTAGGAATAAACTGGAGTATTTTTCCTGATGTTGAATTGTTTTTATCTTTTGCTGGGGATGTTTTGGATGAAAATGGTATGCCATTACTCGTGCAAGAATTTGAATATTTTAATAATAATGGATTAAAAATCTTGATGAAACCAAGAATATGTGAATTATTAAAATCAAGAAATGAGGTTAGTGGAATTTAATTATGGTAATAACATAAAATAATGTTATTGTTGGTATTAATATTAATATCATCATTATTTATTGTTGGATAGAATAATATTAAAAGAATATGGTATCCATTTTATATGGTAAATAAATAAATATATTATACTATATACTATATGTATACTAATTAATTTTATTATTAGGGTGAATATGAAATTTTAACACCGGATTATTACTTGAAGTAAAATGTTTATTTCAATATTTACCTTGTGTATTTGTTTTTCGAACTTGTCTTTTCGATATAAATGGGAGATCTGCATTTCAATCAAAATTTATCAAGTGGCAGTAAGCTGAAAAAGTTCTTTGACATAATAATAGTAATAGACGTCAAATTCAGAGAGGTTGTAGAAGAGACTATTATTTCTATTTTTGATTAATAAATAATAATAATAATATTAGCATTGAGAAATTATAAAAAAAAATTATTTTCCTCGCGTTATTAATATTCCAAATCTAACTTTACCATTTACTACTTCTCACACTCCAAAGTTCATTCGTACTCTAGCCAATATTCGCTCGCTTACATTCATTGAACAAATATTAACTCATGGTACCTATTAAAAATACTACAGTTTTTCTACTTTATCTTTTTTAACTACTACTATTATTTTTATTGGTTTGCTGGTTGAATCAATATCAATCAATAAAAATAACATGTAAATTTAAGTATAAATATTCGAGATACACACATACTAATTGATTACTCTTAATAAATTTTTTCTATAAAACTAGATGTTCCACAATGTCCAGATATTGGTAGTTTTAATAATAACAATCATGTACCTTCTATTTCGGGAGTTTCTTATGATGCAATCGAAGAAACTGACCATTGTGAATGCTCTTTTCCAAAAACAAAAAACATATTTCTTGTAATAAGATAATATGTTCACATTGTAGACATAGCCCAGAATATGCATTGACAATGTCCATTTACTGAATTAACTGTATTTTATGGCCAAATCTACTCCAAATTGGAAATTGAACACATTTTTTGATTTAATAAATGATCCAACGACGTTGACACGAGAAAGCATTATTTTATTGTAAGAATATAAATAATAATATTATGGAAAGGGCCAGAAAATACGATTAAGAGTTGGCATAAGGGCTACCACCCTCATATTTCAGGCAGAACCAATGCAAACTTCAAAAATACTGCAATCTTCAGGGTTATTTATTATTGTGGGAATCTTTGAGGCAATGAACAATGCCTATTATTTAAAGAGCATAACTTGCAACATTTTTATAACAAACCTGAGCATCTTCTTGTAAAGGCCGAGACTATTATTTTCTGAACAATTTTATATTAACATTTAATAAACTAATGATTTCAAATGCAACTGAAGAGGCACAATCACGTGGGTGAATTATTGCTATCCGGCATAGTTTTTGAGGATTAATTTCAGAATCTCAAGATAAGCATAAACTGGATGGTTTGAATGGTTCTTATACTAATATAAACTTGGATGAGAATTTAAAGCAATTCATTATTAAAATTATTACAAAATCTACACAAGTGCCAGCTGATATATATTATGGAAATAAATTGTATGAAGATGTGAAGACCCTCATGACAAAATTGTAAGTTTATAATATAATTTATTATGCTTTTACTATTAGCTTCGCAACATTTAATAATATATACATGAAATTTGGGAAAATAATATAAAAAAGATGCATCAATTACTGAAGCCTCGTTTTCGCGTCAAGTAATTGTTTCCATTCTTGATTTTTAAAGATGAATTACTCACTCGTACGAGTATTTGATTCTCGCATTAATTACATTGGCTTTTTAAAATTTTTAATAAATAAATGGATTTCGCACGACAAGACAAAACAAGACTCACAGAACTTTGTAGGGTCAATTGCAGAAAATAAAAAAAAATAAAAAAAATTTTCTCCTTACATGTTAGTTGCAATATATTAAGTATCATTATTTGTGAAATTAATTAGCGAACGAACATATTATCTTTTTCAAAAAAAAAATTCTTGCCACTTTATTTTGAAAAGATATTTTCATTTGATTTGCTCTTAAAAGTTTCCACTAATTTGAGGGTAAAATTAATAGACATGTTTGAAATTTGATAACTCTGAGCAAGTTAGTCAAAGAAACTATTCGAAATGTTTATTAAAAATTCTAGAAGACAACTTTATCAATGAGGAGAATGGTGGTGACGGGGATGATGAAAATGATGATAATTTGATATTAGTATCAAGATCCATCAGTAATCGGAAAATAACTGATGTAAATAAATAAAGCTAGTGACGATAGTAATAGAATGAGAAATGTAGTTTCCGGGGACAAATAAATAAAAACAAAAAAATCTGCTTTAATGAATTAAACTAAAAATGGAATTAAAAGTAAAAGTAACTAAAATGAAATGCATAATATTAATATAAAAAATCCTTTACATTTTTTTTACGTTTTGTATTCTCCATGAATATTTGATTGTATATATTTGAGAACCAATGAAACAACATTTTCTAAGTTCTTAATTCGTTCAACGATAGAAACTCGCCAAAAGAAATCGGAAATCACGAAATAGCGATCAAAAGAATTCAAACAAGTCCAACTTGATATTGTTATTCACTGTAATAAACCAATAAAATAATTAACTCGCGAAAATTATTGAAAATGAATTCTAAATTGTAACGGACCTTTAATTCTTAGATTCTATCAAATGAAGGAATTTAAATGGTTTGATCGCTTTACTTTAGTAATATATATAATTACTCCTATATAAAAATAATTAATATGAAATAAGGTTTCTGGCCGAAACTGCTTCTATTAGTAGCCGAAATTGCCCAAATACTTTGGGCAAAATTATTTTAAAGTTGTTTAAGTTAAAACAAATTGAT